TTGATGACGATGGCCTTTAAGTGTTCAAAGCCTTAAGCTATACTGAAGAAGAAGATGCCAACGATTGCCGTGTAGTAATGGGAAAGATGAAAAGGTATTGCATCGGCGAAGTAACGTAAACGAGATTGTTTGAGCAGGAGGGAAAAACTTCCTACCGAAACGCTCGACAACTTAATCGCTGAGTTAAAAAGAACCTTGGCAAAGAGCCGCAATTTATGTGATTATTTACGGTTTTTACAAGATACTCTCATCTGCGTTCGATTGGTCTTGGGATAAAACATGAGCACATGCCACTAAGGATGACAGACCCCACGTTCAGAACAAGTGCATCGACTTTCCAGCATCCGAGATGCAAATATAGGAATCTTAGCAATGACGACGGCGACGTCGAGGACAACCTCCTTGTAATATTGAATTTGTCGAGGATGTCATATGGCTCTAGAACCTCACTCAGGCTAAATATGTAATGACAGCTTGCAATTCTAAATGTAAGGAACTGTATTGAGTATTGTATTGCCAGCATAAGTAACCCGTATTGTAAGTAACGTAAGTAAGTATTGTAGAGCTGTGTTTTGTAAATTAAAATTATTAGAAAAAAAAAATGACAGACCCCCACGTTAAACAAGTGTATCGACCTTCCAGCATCCGAATTGCAGATATAGGGATCTTGAAAATGACGACGGCGACGCCGGGGACAACGCCAAAATTAAATTTGTCCAGGATGCCTATGGCTCTAAAACCTCGCTCTGGCTAAATATGTAATGACAGCGTTTAATTCTAAATGGAAATACGAAAAATTAGCAGTTCGACTCATCGTTTCTTGTTCGCAGTCATTTTGCGTTGCTGATTTGTAATGGAAGGACTATGAAATCAGTACAAAGGTTTACTGGCCACCCTTGCACAGCCTTTGTTTTGCTCATCAAAACTTTTGTTTGGTGGTACTCATTGACGTCGTGGTTTGCTCCAGACTCCGTCCACACTACGCTGGAGGAATTTAAAAACGCATACGGTTAGGCCCACGGTCCAGAGTAATCCGTCACGAAAACGCTTTTAGAAAACGCTCTTGACTTCAAAACGGAGGAATTTGAAAACGCCGGTTTTGAGGTTTCGTGTGGACCTTTTCGAACACGATAGGATCAGGAGAACCACATGATTTCCCTGGCCGATATTTCCTCAAACAAAAATGTAAAACGACCGCTGATTGTTGCGTTTTTAAATTGCTCCGGTGTAGTGTGGACGCTTCCTAGGTTCCTAATGAAGTCAATAATCAGACTGCGTTCTTCAATGAGTCCAAGGAGCAAAAAGTCGAAGGACTGAGGTCCCGCGCAAAGGAGAAATGCACCAAAAATAAACAAAATAAATATTTAGGAGTGGAACTCTTTAAGGACCTCGATCAAGTTAAATATTTGTAATATGTTACTAGCATTGTCACGAAGCTAACCCGGCGGCTAAATAAGGTTTTACTTTACTTACTTTTACTGTCAGATTTATCAGAAGGAACCTGCATTGTTGCCCCGAACACATTTAAGAAAAACTCTTGTTATTTTTCAGTAATAGACCATCTGTGTGGGATTCACATACCCAAAAGGAAACTCATGACATCCAGATCTAAGGTGCACAACTACAAGCCGCTCGTTTTGTTAAACATTTTTATTATTCCCCTAAAACACAATCGGGAGCCTGTTCACAGGCTAAGTTGGCAGAGATCTTGTAAACGAATTGAGAAGACGTCTACGCCACCCTTGCCATGCTTCAATATGCAGGCAATATTTGTGTCAAACCTTTACACCTGCAAATCCTTTTCTGACCTTTTCTGTGCGGCAACGTTTTTATGTCTATGAAGGACATAACCTGGCTTTTGAATTCAGTTAGGTCTTTATGATGACCTTCATTAAGTGGCACACAAACGTTTCCCTTGTGTAGTCTCTCGTTGCTTACACAGCCGTCTTTTCGAGCGGTATAAAATGACACCAAACTCTAACGTGTGCTGTCGTTTCAGCCCTTTTGCACGAAATTCGTTCAGACCTTTTATACGAAAGCCGGATTCGGGATATGGTGTGTCATATTCTCTTGGTCTGCTGCACTGCCAAAAATGATTGGTCGACAAAATGGACAAAAATAACACTGAAGCTCATAGTCCTTGTACAAAGTTTAACCATGCTCAATTGACTTATTCCTATAATTTGTATCACAATTGTTTGGACTTATAGTACCATGAGATCCACGAAGATCAAAGATATCAGAGGTCAAGAAAACGACGGAAAAGACCAGAAAATGGTGTCACGTCTGCCACGATTTGATGATCTTTTTTGTACGACTCTATTTACTATTTACTTTGAATGAATGCCATCCTTCCAGTTCAAAGAACGTTCACTTATCACGGAAACCTAATTGGTAAATCACGCATCACGTGTTTGTAAAATAGCAAATCACGCATCACGTTATGTCCTGTCCCGCGTCACGCGGCTAATGTGGTCTCAATCACGCATCACGATGCTAATTTTAGGGCGATCACACGTCACGCAAAAACCCTCTGCCACCCTCCGGTTAGCCTGAATATCACTCTGGTTAGCTTGAATATCGCTCCCGTTAACCCGAATATCACTCAAGTTAGCCTAAATAACGCTCCGGTTAGCCTGTTTACTGTTAGCTCTCAATGGTGGAAATGGTAACACGATTTAGTTGAAGTCTACAGTCTGCAGTCTGCATTTTATCCCCGGTCGACAGTCTTCGTTTTACACTGACCGAATGATGAATGCACTCCAGCATGCAAGTTGCAGCTGCAAGTTGCACAAATAAGCAACACTTCCCTGGGGATGTTTCACGTGAATAATGCACGTGGGATGCACGTGGCAATTCGTTTGCAATTTATTTTAGTACGAGACGAGTTCCACGGAAAAATGTTTCGTTCTGCGGGGCTCGGCTGGGGGTTTGAAACAAAATTAACAAATCGTCTGTTGGACGTTTGAACGATTTATTTTGTATTATTACCTACAGGTAGCAAAAGCGTACTCATAAATTATTGGGTAATGAACTTTAAAACTCCTAAAAAACCGGTTTTTTCGAACAGTTTTCTGTTCTTTTCATATCGTTTCCATACGATCTAGTAATAACTCGATCGCGAGGCGATTTCTTCCACCTTGGTGAGAAAGGAATTTTAGTCACACTACCAAACGAGACAAACGAACTTACTGCAGTTCCTTTCCAAATTTCTTACCATCACCACCTTGTTAATTTCATATGTAAGTCCTCCCCCCCCCCCTTCCCCGCTCTCTCCTCCCCACTCCCGAGTAAATTACAGGAACCCACTGGGTGTGTAGCATACGTGACAATCAATGAACGCAAGCGATCTCGCGGGAAACCGCCTTTAAAGATAGTTCACGTTGTAATGAGGTCACATATCGTCTGGTCTCCGGCTCTGTAGTATGATGTAACTGACGCCTAGACGCGACACAGCGTTATACTTTGTTACACTTTCTGCAAACCGCCTCATCTGCTAAACTGTCTGAAATCCCCTTTCTTCTTTTTGCTGAATATCTTGGCTTTCTGTTGTAATTTCGAGCTTTTATATCCTGCACCAAAGCCACCGCCACCACCTCGTCTTTGAATTCGCTCTCCTTTGCTGCTGTGAACATCTGGGAGAATTCGTTAAGGTATAAAGAGACAAAGGTTGTTTACCATTTACACAAATATTCCAGAAATTTCGGTCAGTATAAATAGTACGTCGTTTAGCCCCCAGTCGATTAGCCCCTGGCCGTTTAGCCCCAAACCAGAAGTCGCAAACACAGTCTGTTTCCCGTTCTCTGAGCGTGAACGGGGACTTCTGGTTGGGGGCTAACCGGTTAGGGGCTAAACGACAGGTAATCAAACATTTAGCTGCAACACTAAATTCACCCAAAGAGAATCAAACGAAACATAAAGAACTCAGTAAGACGACTTTGCACGCTGATCAAAAGGATACTCAAATTAACTCGTGGTGGCACCAGGAATCCAAACGCAGGCGCGACTCTTTGAAGGTCCAAAGCGTTGACATTGAAGATGGTCTTGTGTTGATGTGAAGCGTATGCCTGTAGGTATGATCTGTACGCTTCCCGAGCTGATTTATGAAGGTAATAGTTCTTTTCTATGAGTTTCTCTAGCTGCAAGATACAACGAACCCATACAGTTGCAGCGGTTTTCAATTGAGTGTCGTAAAAGAAAACCAAAGTAATCACCCTGGCCAATCACAATACACGCCGACAATCCAATGAACCAATCTAAACTCAAAGTATATACGTGGAGCTGACGCGAAGCGCGGGAAAACGTGTGCGAGCCAATCACGATTGGTTTTACTTCTGAATAGGATGAAAGAGTGGTGCGGGTTTTTTAAGCCAATCGTAAAGCGTAGTAATGCAAAACCAATTACTTTTTGACACTCAAGTAAAAACTGCTCCAAAATGAAGAAAGGGTTTTTTTTTTTGAAAAATTTCGTCTTACTCTGGAGACCCAGGCGGGATATTGAGAGAACACTGCAAGAGTTAAGAGGCCCGTGAATCGCATTTTCTTCTCGCGTTAACCCAAATACGCTCTGTTGCGTAAAGTAAGCTCACCTGTGACTGGATGTTGTATATTTTTGATGCTGAAAAGTCGTATTCGTTGAGAGGAACCTTGAAGAAAAACACAATAAAATTACATAAAAACTTTGTCCTCGAGCTAAACAGTGAAGTGAAAATTCGTTGTAGTAGGTAGGTCTCCGGGTAAGGTTAGTTTGAAAAAGTTCTTACTGGATAAATCAATGAGAGTCTGCAGGTTTTGTGCGCAAACGTCTTCTGTTTTTGCTCCGAGAGCAGAAAAAAGGTAAATTTTCTCAGAATTGAAATTAAACTCGCGGTGTTTGTCATAAGGTTTGCATGCGCTGAATGAACGCGTAAGCTTTCAAGTTCCAGGGATTTGTAAGAAATAGTTAACTCTGTAAAATAAGTTTGCTAAATAATGGAATTTGGTTTTAGCTTGTTTTTGAGTTGGAGAGCAAGTGTTTGAAAGAAGAATGTCAGTGCATATGTCGCCTACATGTAGAGCACATACGTTAAACAGTGCGCACGAAAGTCATTTCAATCAACTTTGAAAAAATGATCTTGGAAACCCCTTTTAAAACGGTTACACTTCTTAAACTGACCTTCGCCTGCTTTAGATATCTCAAGAATGCAAGCTCCTCTGGTAACAGCAGTAGCAAGGCATGGCCACGACCATCGCTTCCACGTGCTGTTCTTCCTACACGGTGAATGTACTCCTGTCAGAGACAATGAAAAAGAAGCCATCAATCTGAGATGCTTCAAGTCGCGTGAGTTGTTATACGCGGCATTGTTTGGACTCTGCGATTTTGTGGCGGAAAATTTCAGGTGACGCACTGTAACGTTATAAATTAAAAGCAAAACATTAAGTCTAAGGCGAATCTACGGATGAACCCATGGGACTAGCATATATTCAATGGGATGGGGTCTTTTAGAACAGGTCTTCCACCCCTTCTTTCTTTTTGTTTTTTGTTTTTTGTTTTTTGTTT